TACAAGGCCATGCTGTAACTAACCGAGTTAGTGCTTGTGGCTGAGGTGGAACAGCCAGCCATTGTTGCATTGTTTTTAATGCACCTGAGGAAACAGTTTGTGGGTGGCTGTGTTGTGCCTCAGTTCACAAAGCTGAGAAGGAGGAAGTCCGAAATTTGCACCCTGACCTCAGAGTCCACTCCTTTTTTCATGACATCAAGTACCTCCTATTGTTTGCCTGAGTCCAGTAGCTCACCCAAAAACCCTGTTGCAAGTGGGGCTGGGACTGGGGTGTCACTGGGGAGAGTGAGAGAAGGCCCATGCCCACCCCTCTCCTTTGCCTCCGGAGCCGGAAAAACTTGAATAATCCCCAGTGTCCAGACTCCTGGCTTGCGCCCTGCTCCCCACCAGCCCTTTCCCACTCCAACCTAGGATGGTACAAATCCCGATTCCCTCCCTCCCTCCCACTCTCCCCAAGCCTTAGCAGCTCGGCTTCCACAAGCACGCGAGTATCGAGTCTGCAGCCATCCCAGCGGACTCCTTCATGCCACACGTGCTGTTCCCCTCCTGACCCCTCTGAAGGCGCTTGGGAGGGGCCAGTGACAGCAGGTAGTGCTTGGCAGGGGATGCTGCTCCCAGGGGGCTGGTGGCAACTCCTTCTTGCCTCCCCCTCATCGGGAGGGTGGGCACAGCAGGGCTGGGGCAGCGCTGGCTGTTCTGTGGCAGCTGCCAGCCTCTCCAGACTCAGCCAGAGAGCAAGTACTCTGGGGACTAAAAGAGGCAGTTCCAGGCCAAGGCTAGTTTCCCCACTTAGACTAGCCGAGGTCTGATGGAGCTGAGGCCTTTGCAGTCATCTGAGTGAGCCACGTTTTCAGTCTGCACCCGTGGAGGCCTCAGGGGTGATGCTGGAGTTTGAGGAAAGGCTAACGGGTGGGGCTCTGTAGCTGCCTTCACCCACTGCAGTCTGGCTTTTTATCTGTTTTATATATTGAGTCTCCAAGTAAGGTTTTATTTTTAAGTTTCTCTTCCTTAGAAAAAGGGTTTGAAAACCCACTCACCTTTTCTCCAGATAAGCAGAGGCTTGGTGAGAAGGTCTTGGCCAAAGTTACCTGGAATTAGTGGCTGCCCCGAGACTGGAGTGCAGGTCTCTTAACTCTGGACCAGTGCTGTCCACACACAAGGCCTTGTCTGGACTCTGAGCTGCTTTCGTGGGGGGTGAGGCATGGGCGTGTGAGTGTCAGTGCAGGTTGCCACTCCAAGTGCATCTCACACCCAAGCTGCTGCCATCCAAGTCCTGTCCCCAGGGAGGGAGGGAGAAAGTCCAGGGGAAAGATAAACAGGGGAGCAGACCTGGAGTAGGAAAGCCACCATACCAGAAGTGAGACAGGGAAGAAGGAGGCAGAGAGAGAAGAGAAGGGGAGAGAGAGAAACGGGGGGGAAACTGGAGGAAAGGAGAGAGAGACAGATGGGGGTAGAGAGAAAGTCTCAGATGGGAGAGAGATGGGGAGGAACACTCAGCTAGGGAGAAATACAGACAGACATGGATGACGGGAAACAGCACCCTCACACATGGCTGGCGGGATTGCACACTGCCAAGGGATCTGGCAGTGCCGAACCCAACTATATATGCAGTTTGACCCAGCGGTACCACTTCTAGGAATCTGTCCTGAAGATGCCCTTCCACCAATGTGAAAACGTATATGCACAAGATTATTCTTTGCAGCATTTCTGTCATTACAAATCAACATGTTCATTCATAGGAGACTGGTTGAATAAACTGTTTCATCTACAAAATAGAGCACTAAGCAGCTTTATAAAAGAATGAGAAAGATTTCTATAAAGCTGATACGGGGCTGGCCAGGTAGCTCCGTTGGTTAGAGCGTGGTATTACAACATCACGGTCAAGGGCTCAAATCCCCACGCCAGCCAGCTGCCAGAAAATCCTGCAAAAAACATAAAGCTGATACGGAGTGATTTCCAGGATATCCTGTTGAGTGAAAAAATAGCATGCAGAAGAGTATCCACGGCAGGCTGTTCTACAAGGGTACTTCAAAAAGTTCATGGAGAGGTTTGTATTATCTTTTAATTCTGCTTTTTCCATGAGAAGTACCTTCATACAAGTAAGGAGGGATAGAAGAAATGTATACATGTACCTGTTCTTTGTATGAAAATACAAGAAGGATAAACCAGACACTAAAAAGATAGGTTACTGTTATGGGTTGACTTGTGTCTTCCCGCAGAAAGATATGTTGAAATCCTAACCCCCTGTACCTCAGAACATAACCTTATTTGGAAACAGGGTCATTGCAGATATAATTGGTTAAAATGAAGCCATACTGGAGTTGGGTGGGCCCCTGATCCAATATGACTGGTGTCCTTATAAGAAGACAGCTATGTGAATACAGACAGACACACACACAGAGGACCATGTGACAGCTAAGACAGAGATTGGAGTTAAGCAGCTGCAAGCTAAGAATGTCAGAGATTGCCAGGAAACCACCAGAAGGCGGGAAGAGGCGGGAAGGATTGAGAGGGAGCAGGGCCCTACCAACATTGTGGACTTCTAGCCTCCAGGACTGTGAGACAAAGTCCGTTGTTTTAAGCAAACAAACAAAACGCAGTCATAAGAGGGGTAAAAAGACACAAAGAAAATACAGATGGAAAGTTACCTTGTAAAAAAAAAAAGGAGATGAAGATAGAGAAGAAGGGAGACAGGTCTGGCAGGACACAAGAGGGCTGTTCGAGACACTGAAATGTCACCTGCCCTGGAGCTGCAGCCCCGTCACAGTGAAGGATGGGCTGGCACAGATCAGTCTGGCACACATCTGGCTGATGGATGTTGGGGGGTCCCGTTGCTGGCATCCTGTCACGTCCCTTCTGCTGACTGCCTCCTCCCAGTGCTGGGCCCAGCTTCCCCCAGTACTCTCCAGACGAACTTGTCATGGGGACTCTGAGTGCGGTATTTGGGGGTGGCCTTGGGCTGGTGCCTCTGTCTCCCCTACCCCCACCCTCTGCTGGTAACCAGTGCTGGGCCCAGCTTCCCCCAGTACTCTCCAGACGAACTTGTCATGGGGACTCTGAGTGTGGTATTTGGGGGTGGCCTTGGGCTGGTGCCTCTGTCTCCCCTACCCCCACCCTCTGCTGGTAACAGTTGGCTTCTGTTCACAGGGCCTCACACAGAGGCAGAGGGATGGGTGAGCTGGCTTGCTGAGAACCTCCTGCTGGCCACAGACGGGGGCTTCTTTTGGACCTGGTAGATTAAGGGGCCCAGGAAGGTAGTCGATGTAGCAAAAGCCTGGGGGAGAAGGAAGCAATCAGGAGAGGAGAGTGGTTAGATCTTGCCTCCCAGGATCAGGGACAATTATCTAGGGCTCCCCTTCCACTAGCCCCAAATCTCCCTGGTGCTGGGGTGTGAGGAGACTCGGAGACTCGTGGTCAAGTCTCAGATGCTCAGGCCCCACCGAGCTGGTGTATCTTGCACTCCTGAGTCAGCTCCTCTCTGACTTTCAACTAAATCCATTCTCTAACCCAGGGGACAGGGCCCCTTAGAGCAGAAACCCATAGTAGAACGGGAGTGCTTCAGGGCTGTTTTTGTCTTTAGGGTTCATGAGAGCCCCATGGCCGCATAGGATGTTAAGGGATTGGTAAATCCGTTCATCTCTCTGGGCCTTGTTTGTCTTGTCTGTGAGATGGGAGGAACCACCCCTGCCCTGTGCGGGTGTGAACATGGCCGAGGCCATGGGTGTTGGGCAGCAGAGCCCTGGGAGTGGCCGGTTCTTGCTCTTTTGCTCTGCTGTGGATCATGGAGCTGGGAGCCAGGAGCCCCTCTAGAGCATTCGTTTATTCAACAGTCAATCATGAAGCATCTATCCTGTGCCAGGCGTTGTGCTGGGAACTAGGGAGACAGCGGTGACCAAGTCAGACGGTCTAGTGAGAAGAAGAACAAACAATCAAATCATACAGTAAAGAAAATACCATCAGACAGTAGCAAGTTCACCGAAGAAAGTAAAGCAGTGTGATGTAGTACTCTGATGTGAGCAGGGCAGCGGGGCAGGAGGCACTCTGAGCACAGAGCTTTTGAGCTGTCAGGTGAGAGCACTGGGAAGAACATTCCAGGCAACAGGGAGAGCCAGGTCCAGGGCCACAAGCAGGACAGGGCTGCCATGCCGAGGGGCCTGAAGGAAGGCCGTGGTAAGACAGGACATGGCTTCTGAGAAGAGCTGGGCAGAGGCCACCCCTGCAGGGCATTGGCCAACGGGGCATGTAAGGAGGGGGCTGTTATCCCAAGAACGGTGGGAGCCTTGGGGGGGTGGAGGTTGTAAGTGGGGGGATGGCAGGGTCTGATTAATGCTTTGAAAAGCTTTCTCTGCTCTGGCCGTTGTGTGGAGAAGTGACCGTAGGAGAGAAGCAGCCTGGTGACCTACTCGTTAGGGAGGAATGGCAGCTGTCCAGGCGAGAGATGATGGTGGCTGAGTCTAGGGGGGTGGTGGTGGTGGTAGAGCTAGAGGGAAGGGGCCCAGGTGTCCTCACTGCATATCTGCTGTCCAACTCCGAGCACAGAGACACTGCTCTAGGAAGTCTCTCCCAGTTGCCATGGGTGAGGGGGTGGGAGGGGAGGGCTGGCTGCTGGGAGGGAATGTGGCTTTGTGCTGGAAAACAAAGAACAGAGCTTGGGGCCGTCTTCTCCTGGGGGTGGGGACAGGCCAAGAGGCTGTTGACAGGAGCAGAGGCTGAACCCCAGGGCCGGGCCTGGCAGGAGCAGGCTGGGCAGGGAGAGGGTAGGTGACCAGCTGAGGGACCCCAGGCCCTTTCAAATGTGGACCATGGGGCCACTGGGCTCTGGGGTGAGGAGGGCAAGGAAAGAAGATGGAGAGTAAGAGGGATGCTCAAACCCTGGCCAGTGGTAGGAATTTGGGCAGAGAGTGCCCTGGGCCACAGGGGCCGGATGTGTTTGGGAGCAGGTGGGGGTTGTGTGTGAAGGGACAGAACGACGCTGACCAGCCACTCTGCCAACCCCCCAGCCTTGCTGCTGAGGCCCTGCCCGCCCCACCCAGGGGTGGAGGCCCACCAGGATGAGCAAACTGCCCGGCGAGCTGGCCCGAGACTTGGAGCGCAGCCTGCCAGCCGTGGCCTCCCTCGGCTCCTCGCTGTCGCACAGCCAGAGCTTCTCGTCACACTTCCTCCCGCCACCTCCAGAGAAGCGCCGGGCCATCTCTGATGTCCGCCGCACCTTCTGTCTCTTTGTCACCTTCGACCTGCTCTTCATCTCCCTGCTCTGGATAATTGAGCTGAACGTGAGTGGGGGTGAGGCTGGGGACACAAGCTCCACTGGGGGTCACCTGGCCCTGGGTTAATCCATCTGCCACATGGGAGGGTTGTCTCTTGCATGGGGTTGACTCTCTGGGTAAAATGAAGAATGGGAGGATAAGGACAGCAGCCCTCATCTTCCCGATGAAGAAGATGGGGCCCAGAGGGGTCGGGTCATTTTGCTGAGGTCCCTCAGCAAGTGTGTTAGGGAGGCGGCTCGAAGCAAACCGAGTTCACGCTCTCGGCCGCTGCGCCATACTGCCCCCTAGTGGAGACTCCTGAGAAGGGCAGAGCAGGAACCGGCCCTGCTGGAGCTGATGAAACCTTTACCTTCTTTTGCCCTACCTTGCTCCACTTCATCCGGCCAGCCCGCCAGCCAGCCAGGTTTTGAGCCCCTGCTGTGTCCCAGGCACTATTCTAAAAGCAGAGGGTAGAGTGGGGAACGAAAACTCCCAGTTCGCGGTGGCTCTGGTTTTGGTGAGATTGTGCCTAGTGGCCTGGAGACAAAGCTGCCTCACAGTGCAGCTACCCCCGCCCCACGCAGTGCTTGGCCCACCCTCCGGAGCACAGTCTAACTGGCAGTCGGGCCTGATCTGGTCTCCAGGTGCTGATAGGGTAGAGCCCATAAGAATAGGAGCCCATGGAGCAGAGCATTCCAGGATTGGCCAATCCCCAGTCCTCCTCTGCATTAACTGTGTGACCTCAGAAGGGACCCAGTCCCTCTGAGCCCCCCCAGTTCTCCCTCTACAGCATGGGCTCGCTGTTAGAGTTCTGGGTGGCAAGGGCCCTTCCCCAGGACTCAGCTCAGGTGATGGGAAGACAATGCCTTTCTTGATAGAAGTTGGGGGAAGGGACTAGCTTGGGGACAAAGATGAGTTTGAATTTGAGTACCTTGAGCCAGAGAGAAAGGCAGGAATCTGAGGGTGACTGTTCTTTGTGCACCAGAGACAAGCTGGCACCTTCAGTGAGATGGAGCCATAGCCACGGAGGTCCTTAGGGGCCATCTTACCAGTGAAAAAGCTGAAGCCCAGCAAGGTTTGGTGCCTTTGCAGAGCTTCCGAGGTCTCAGGCACTCTTCCTTTTGAAGGTTCCATCCAACATCAAAACAAACACCAACATTCACCCGCATCCTACATTCAATATTTTCTTACCAGAGAGGAGCTGAAACATTTTTGATGATTTTACTTTTGGGATTATTTGGCTATGTCAGCTGTGATTGCTCAGCGGTCATCATGCAAACTTGGAAATTCTTGCAAAGTGAGAAAATCTAACCTACAAATTGTCTTCAAATGTAATGAAACATTTCAGAATACTGGTGTTAACAATGAGTAGAGTCAGCATGATGTTTCACTTGGGAGACATTTAATTAAATTTTATTAATTATCAATTTTGTAGTTTTATTTTAGTATCTTGGAGTGTATATGTTTTTAGTTCTCTGACAGACTGTGTCTGTGTTGCCCAAGGACCCCAGTAGGTTTATGTGACCAGCATGGCGTCTTTGCAGCCAGACTGGCAAAGCAGGAATTGACACACGGCTCTCCTGAGTCCTGATCCAGTCAGTGCTGGCGGGTACCCAGGCTGAGGGAGAAGAGGGTGGAGGACAGAGCTCTGGACAGCGACTGCTGGGGTGGGAGGGGCTGCGGAGCCCCAGAGGGAGCAGTCAGGAGTGAGAGGAGGGCCAGTGTGGGGTCGGGTGTCAGACCTGGTGGTCCCACCAGCAGACCAGAGGAGAGGTGGCATTGAATTTCACTGGGCTCAGGGTGGTCTTGAGGAGGAGACACGTGGAGATGTGTAGGGGGTCCGAATATCAGTGAAGGGGCTGTCCAGACTGCTGGCCGTCAGAATCAGATGAGCATCAGAATCACCAGGGAGTTTTATAAAGATTCCAGATGCTCAGCTCACCCTGAGATTCAGACTCAGTGGTCTAAACATCTCTTTCTTGGGCCGAGCCCGTGGCGCCGCGGGTTCGGATCCTATGTGGGGATGACCAGTGCACTCACAGCGCTCACTGGCTGAGCGCGGTGCGGCCGGTCTCAAAAAGGACAAAAAAAAAAAAAAAAAAAAAATCTCTTTCTTTAACAAGCCCCCTCCCCCAATTTGAATGACCTGTGAGAGGTCAGAAGTCCCGGTCTAGGTAGTCATGAAGGGTCTTCTCCTCAGGGTTCCTGGGCTCCGTTCCCCCAAGTCCCTGTGTGTCCTCCCTCCTCCAGCAGGGCTGGTGCCCCCACCTGCAGAAGCCTGGGCCTGCCACCCTAAAAAGGAAAAAAAAAAAAAAAAAAAAAAATCTCTTTCTTTAACAAGCCCCCTCCCCCAATTTGAATGACCTGTGAGAGGTCAGAAGTCCCGGTCTAGGTAGTCATGAAGGGTCTTCTCCTCAGGGTTCCTGGGCTCCGTTCCCCCAAGTCCCTGTGTGTCCTCCCTCCTCCAGCAGGGCTGGTGCCCCCACCTGCAGAAGCCTGGGCCTGCCACCCTTGTTCCTTTTGAGGAGGCAGGCAGCAGTCTGGCTCTCAGTGTCCATCCAGACCCTTCCATCCCCCAGACCCCTGGACATTGGAATCCGGGCCCAGGTCTCAGGTGTCTCAGTGAAAGTGCACGGTGGACAGGAACAGGGGTGACGACACGTCTGCTCACTCTCCATGCCATCCTCTCCAGCAGCGTGATGGATTTTGCCCATTAAGCACAAACCTAATCAATTGATTTGCCACCTGGGGCTCTGTCTGACACCACTGCCCACCCCCGGCCCCCATCACCCCAGATGGATTGCTGGCTGGAAGATGGAGCACCACAGAGCTGGGAGGGAAGTGGAATTATGCAACAGTGGGGTCCCAGCACCCTGTCTGCCAACCTGCGTCGGGCCCATTGCCTCCCCTGAGCAGCCCGAGGCCTCCAAGCCTACCCTTTCCTGGGCAGTGTGCTTGAACCCAGCCCTGCCGTCTGCGCTGCCTGGATCCCTAGAGGAATGTATTGGTGCCTGGGGTCTCAGGCCTCTGGCTGGTGCTTGGTGCTTCAGGGGCCCCTTTGGGTGGCAGCTTAGCACTTACAGCCTCCCCTCCAGGTTCCTCCTTCCCCCAGGGGCTTGTTCTACCTGCAGAGCTCTTCCTGTTTTCCTCTCTCAGACCAACACAGGCATCCAGAAGAACCTGGAGCAGGAGATTATCCACTACAACTTTAAAACTTCTTTCTTTGACATCTTTGTGAGTGGCCTGGGGACCTTGGGGACAGAGGGAACAGGGGAAATGACTTCGGCTGGGTTCAGGTCTCCCCACTCATGTGCCAGCCCTCTGTGTATCCCGTGGCATGTCCTGCCCCACAAATACAGCCAAGGAGGCTGGGATGAATGAGTTCAGACATCAGCTGATCCCTTCAGGGACCTAAAGTGTGTGGTTTCCACTTTACCGATGATGACAGCAGTTCCCCAAAAAACTGCTTCTTTCTGTGACACACATCCAGTCTGGTCAGGGAGCCCTCAGTCAAGGGGCAGGAGGTAAAAAGAAAAAAAGAAGGTTCCTTAATAAGATGCCACCTTCACAGAGCCCCAAGTGGGAGAGAGAAGATCAGACCCCTGTCCCAGGTGGTCACATCCAGGGCTGGTTGGTTAGTTCATTTGTTTAGTGTGGTGCTATAACACCAAGGTCCAGGGTTCAATCCCTGTACTGGCCAGCCACCAGAAAAACCCCCAAAACCAAGAAGGTCACATACAAATTGTCCCAAAAAACCACTGACTCAGCCATTCTCTCTGAGGTGGGCACGCCCCTGAAGAGGACTGTTGGGGAGCAGGACCGGAGGGGAGGGGAGGGCAGCCTCAGCAGGGGTGGGAGCTTGCCTGTGATGGCTTGGCCCCCTCCCCTGCCAGGTGCTGGCCTTCTTCCGCTTCTCCGGACTGCTCCTGGGCTACGCCGTGCTGCGGCTCCGGCACTGGTGGGTGATTGCGGTAAGGTGCCATCTTCCCGGCAGCTCCTGGCCCTGGTGGGGCTGGCGCAAGGGATGGGACAGAGGAGGCCTCACTCCCCAGCCTCTGCTCTCCCTCCCTCCCTCTTTCTCTCCCCTGGGCAGGTTACTACACTGGTGTCCAGTGCTTTCCTCATTGTCAAGGTCATCCTCTCTGAGGTCAGTGGCTCGGGGTCTTGCTGGGCGACTGGGCATTTCGTCTGAGGGATGGGCTTCTAAGAAAGGACCATTTCCCTGATTTGGGGTGTCTGTCCCTGTTGTCAGGGTTGGGATAAGGGGTAATCCTGTCCTTTATTTCCAAGGAATCATCTTCACTGGCTTCCCTCCTTAACCCCTAGCAACCACAAGAATCAGAAAGTTCTTCCAACCTAACCTCAGTTCACCCTGCCGCAGACATATTAAATCCATCTCAGAGGCCCAATAGCTAATAGAGGATTTTGAATGTCCCTAACACAAATAAATGCCTAACGTCTGAGGTGATGGATATGCTAATTACCCTTATTTGATCATTGCACATTGCACACATGTACCCAAATATCACACTGTACTCCATAAATAATTATATGTCAATTAAGAAGAAATAAATTTCAAAAAATGGAAAAAAAAAAAAAACCCAAAGAATAAAAATAAACTTAACAACGACTTGGCTTTGTGAAACTAAACGTCGAACAGTACAGAGTACGTTTGATAGACACATCTTCCGTTCTCGTATAACTTCGTATAATGTATGCTATACGAAGTTATTACGTGTGCCAGCTTGGCCAGCCAGAATTGGTGGCCCCAGCAGGAAGCTCTGGGTTTGGGCTGACCCCCTGCCATGGAACTCGGGCCCCCTCCCTCCACAGCTGCTCAGCAAAGGGGCATTCGGCTACCTGCTCCCCATTGTCTCCTTTGTCCTCGCCTGGCTGGAGACCTGGTTCCTTGACTTCAAAGTCCTACCCCAGGAGGCTGAGGAGGAGCGATGTGAGTGTTGGCGGGGGGTGCAGCGGGTGTCGTCCTAACCCTAAGAGAGGAGAGTGTCTGGCGTGAGAGTCAGTCAGAGCCATCTTGCCACCTGTGAGCAGCCTTCAAGAGCCAGAGGGTCAGCCTGGGGTGGGGCGGGGGGTTGCCCCAGGCTGCTGAGGTATGACTGTCCTTGGTCTGGGACAATGGCTGCCCATGTCTGCTCCCCCAGGGTATCATGCTGCCCGGGCCGCTGTCGCCCACGGACCCCTCCTGTTCTCGGGTGCCCTGTCCGAGGGCCAGTTCTATTCACCCCCAGAATCCTTTGCAGGTGAGGGCTGGTGGGCGGGGGAACTGCCTTCAGGGAGGGGCCTTGTGAGGAGTGGGCTAGGCTGGGTCTGTTCGTTCCGTTCCTTCTGTCAGGCTCCCTGGGGAAAGCCAGCAACCTCTCCTACACACGTTCAGCCCCCATATCCCTGCACCCACATACCCAAACCCCACCAGCTCTCCCTACACTGTCTCCCTACCCCTTGCCACTGTCATCTGTGCCTGTTTTCCACAGGGTCTGACAATGACTCAGATGAAGAAGTCGCTGGGAAGAAAAGTTTCTCTGCCCAGGTATTTGGCTGCCTGCCTACCCCAACCCTACCCTAGGAATGGGCACCTAGAGAAGAACCAGGGCTGAGCCCAGCCAAGTGGGCAAGGGCTGCGCAGCAGAGGGTGGACCTCAGGCAGCCTGCATGCGGTTGGTGCCCACCCATCTGGGTGTCTGCCCCACCACCGCAGGCCTCAGGAAGCCCACAGGGCCCAGGGAGGCCAGCCCAGACCCCACATCTGGCTGGGCGAGGCTCCTCCGGGAGGTGTGTGGGGAGTGTAGAGAGAGAAAAGTCCACCAACAGGATGGAGAGCAGGCCCCAGGGTGACCCCTCCCCGCCCCATCCAGGAGCGGGAGTACGTCCGCCAGGGGAAGGAGGCCACAGCAGTGGTGGACCAGATCCTGGCCCAGGAGGAGAACTGGAAGTTCGAGAAGAATAACGTAAGAAGCCCCTCCCCTACCTGGCCCTCCCACATGCGTTGGGAATTTTTGATTCCTTTTCTGAGGCCTGAAACTTAAACCCAAGGATTGCATGGGTTGGAACCACATTCCTGTCTCATGAGAGGGGGCTGGGCCCTGGGGTCGGCCATTCAGCAGGAGGCCAGACTGGATTGGACGTTTCCACTGTCCCCCCAGCCCTGCCCCGGTCCTTGCCTCCCTGCTGCCCTGCTCCCTCGGCTTGCAGGCTTTGAGGGGAAGCCAGGCTTCTGCCCTGTGTCTGGTGTTTTGTTTCATGATCAAAACAACATTATCTGAAAAGATTGCAGAGAGCTTGGAGAACAGAAGCAAACGTCCCCCAGTCCCTCTCTCTGGCCAGTTCCTCCACAGCCCTTGCTGGCCTGGAGACGTGGTTCTTCGTGGCTGCAGCTGCAGCTGTGCCCCGTCTTTTAACTTGATATCAAAAGCCTCCCTCTCCTTGTTTCCTTACGGTTCTTAGAACCACCGTTTTGTAACAGCTGCTCAAATGTCCCCAAACTCCTGGAGTTTTCCACCCTGAGTTCTTGAAAACCTGCCCTGCCTGTCACCCATTCCTGTGCCGCCTGCTGATCCCCCATGCCCTCCCCCTTCCCCCCCACCCTCCTCCCTGTCACCCTTCTGTCCCTGCTGCAGGAATATGGGGATACTGTGTACACAATCGAGGTTCCCTTTCACGGCAAGACATTCGTCCTGAAGGTGAGTGAGGGAGGCAGTTGTCCTGGAGCCTCCTGCTTTGTCTGGGGCACCAGGAAGGGGCTGAGGAGCCCTCTGGCAGGTCTCCCCACCTGCCAAGAGGGAACGGCTGGTGTGCCCAAGCACATGCGGCCCCACCCAGCCCTCTGCCCGCCCTGCCCCAGACCTTCCTGCCCTGCCCTGCGGAGCTGGTGTACCAGGAGGTGATCCTGCAGCCCGAGCGGATGGTGCTATGGAACAAGACGGTGACCGCCTGCCAGGTGAGCCCAGCTCAGGGCCTGGCCTGGCCACCTCACGATGTGGAGCAGGGCGGTGCCGTGGCCCAGCATGGCCAGTTAGTCCCAGGGGGCCTGGGTGGTGTCCCCGTGCCGTTCTATTAGCTCCCCGTCTGTTAAGTGGGGGTGATAGTAACAGCACCTCCTGGAGAGGGCCCACAAATAGTGATGGCTCTTAGTAAAGGGACCTGAGCAGAGAGGACCCTGGCACTGGGGTTTTCCTGGGGTGGGCTGCCCCTCATGTCTCCCCTGCGGCCCTCAGATCCTGCAGCGAGTAGAAGACAACACCCTCATTTCCTACGACGTGTCTGCAGGGGCTGCAGGGGGTGTGGTCTCCCCCAGGTGAGTGCCCACCAAGCCCCTCCTCTCAGGCCTCCTGCGCAGGGCCCTGGCTACAGTGCTCCCTGATCTAACCCTCCCTCCCCCAGGGACTTTGTGAACGTGCGGCGCATCGAGCGGCGCAGGGACCGATACCTGTCCTCAGGCATCGCCACCACCCACTGCGCCAAGCCCCCGACGCACAAATACGTCAGGTGAGCCTCGTCCTCCGGTTCCCCCTGCAGTGCTGAGCAGCGCACGGTGCAGTGTGTGCGGCCGCGTTCCTGTTCCTTGTCCCGCTGGGCTTTGCCCCTCCCGGCCCTTATCCTGCTAATCTCGCTGCTCTGTCTGCGGGAAGTGGGAGGACGGCTGGAACCAGGCCACCGAGGCTGGGGGCCATGTGCAGTGGGCAGCTGGCCAGCGGTAGACCATGGATGAGGATCAGTCCAGGGAAGGGCCTAGGAGCCAAGAGGTCACACTGGGCTGGTTGACCTGAGCAGGGGGCTCTGAGTTCTGGGTTTCATCTTCCTCCCTCAGAAGACTCGAGTCCCCTTTCCTCCTCCTCGTCCTGTCCCCGCTGCCTGCCTTTCTTCTCGGAAGTCCCCCCACAGGAAGAGGAGTTGGGGTCTTCCTGCTGCACTTGGTTTCCTCCTAGTTCTCCCTGCTGTCTGGGCTTAGGCTACGGTGCTGGGGGTGGCCCCTCACACAGATCCACTCTTCCCCATCCCTCTCCTGGAATGAGAACACTATTCTTTGAACGTGATACTGGGGCTCTGGTCATGGCATGGCTGCAGACCTGCTGGGGGATGGGCAAGCTCGTTTCCTTTCTGGGTGCCAACGTCCTTATCTGTGGAGTGGGCATAAGTGTGCTCAGTGGAGCTGTGGGTGAAAGAAAGGGCCATGAGGTGTGAACCATGCAGCCCAGGCCCTGACTGTTTCCTGAGAAGGTGCCCCTCCTGGAGCCTGCCAGCACCACCCTGCTCCCTGAGGGGCAGCGGGGAGAAGCGCCAGCCCAGCCCACCCCCCTACAGCCCCACAGAGCTGCCCTAGAATCTCTGGAGAGTAGATGAGGGCTGGGAAGGTGGGGAGCTCACTGCCTTGGGGGTGTGCAAGCAGCAGCAGGATGTTGTAGGAGGGTTTGAGCATCATGGAATGGGTGGGGCTGGGGCTGATCCTGCAGCCTCTGGGACACCTGTTCTGAGCCCTACACAGACAGGGTAGCACTTCCTAGGCCAGCATCTGCCTTCCCTTTTCACCCCAGTCTAAGCTGGGCCAAGAATAGGGTGTTGGGGGGAGTTGGGGGTCTCAACTCAGCTCCACCCCCACTCCGCCAATCATGCTTCTCTCCTTAGGGGAGAGAATGGTCCTGGGGGCTTCATTGTGCTCAAGTCGGCCAGTAACCCCCGAGTCTGCACGTTCATCTGGATTCTTAACACAGATCTCAAGGTGGGTTGCTGGGGGCTGCCAGACCGGCTCTGTAGAATGGAGGGGACCCTGCTGCAGACTGGGTTTCTGTGTGACCTTGGGGGTTCTCCACACTCAGGGCCTCCCCTGCTTTCACCCTGCTTTCTTGCTTGAAGATGTGGGGCAGGGTCCAGATGGTCTTGCCCTGAGTTGCTCGAGGGTCTGTGCGTTCTCTTTGTCACCTCTGCCTCCTGAGGCCCTGAGGAGGGGTGGCTGGCTGCCAACTCTGCCCCACCCGGGTCTGTTTGTGTGGCTGGTGCCAAGACCCGGGCACAGCATGTTCTTCCTGCCAGGGGCGAGGGGAGAGGGTGGCCCAGGCTGGATTCCAGAGCTGCACCTGCATTCTGGCCCAGAGCAACGCTACTGGTGCCAGCTGTTGAGGGGGAGCCATCGTGTAACCTCTTCCTGCCTTCCCAGGGCCGCCTGCCCCGGTACCTCGTCCACCAGAGCCTCGCGGCCACCATGTTTGAATTTGCCTTTCACCTGCGGCAGCGCGTCGGAGAGCTAGGGGCCCGGGCGTGACAGCGCCTCTTGCCAACCCTGCAGGCCAGGGTCCCGTTGCCACAGCCTCCAGAGCCAGAAAAGGGCCAGCTGGACTTCCTGCTGCCCACATAGGACCTGGCTTCAGGTAGTGGGCAGTGTCTTGGTCCCAAGCTGCCACTCTGCACCAAGCCACACTGTGCCTGCGAGCCATGGCTCTGAGCAGGGTGGGGGGCTGAGCATTTGGACTCTGGGGCTCTGCCGGCTGATGGAAGTGGCATCTGTCCAGCTGATGTTTTCATGGTGCCCTTGCCTCCTGGAGGAGAAGATCACGGTCCCCTACCTTGCCAGGGGCAGTGTCTGGGGTGGGAGCCTCAAACTTAGTTGGGGACGGCCAGGGCCCTGGGCAGGGCAGCCTGTCACCAGTGTTAAGGTGAAGGAGTTTTCATCTGCCTGTTCTCGTCACGGTTTTTTAGGATTAAAGGGTCTGGGACCTTTATCCATATGAACTTATGGGGGAGTGGGTGGCAGGTGGGGGGTGCTGGGTGCTGGCAGTGAACCTCTGCCTCTCCCAGGTTGTCCCCTTCCCCCCAGGGCCTCCTTGTGGACTTTGTAATTTGAGCCAATTAAAAAAATGAACTAAGGAAAAAAAAAAAAAAAAAAACAGCCCCC